CGGGTCTAAGATCTTCGACACCTTGCCATGCAGCGCCGGGCACGATTTCGTTGGCACCAAAATCAAATGCGTTTGCTATACAGTGTACATCAACTCTTGACTCTTTACTAACGAAGATAAATTTCATAATTGAAATATACTATTCAAAAAAAGTAGGGGATATTTGATTTTTAAGTGTTATTAAAGTCACCTAATGAAACTGACGAAGAAACAAATGACAAAATGAAATGAAGTTCACATTCATCGATTTATTCCAAATGATCGTTAGACTAAGTAAGGCACAGACTGACCATTATAAGGGTAAAATGATACCCGGGGTCAAACAGCAAAGTTACCACAGCATCACAACCAAGTCAGTAACGGGTAAATCCTCCTCTGTTTGCCAAACAAGCATTGATCCGACGTGGCATACTCCTAATGAGACGTCTAAGGTCATTTTGGTCCAGATTGTCCCATTCCTGTTGCAACGCACCAGCAAGTTCTTGGACATTGGCAGGACGTTGTTGACGTTGACGTAACCTCTGTCCAAGCATGTCCCAGACATGCTCGATGGGGGAGAGGTCGGGACTCAGTGCTGGCCAAGGTAATGTGGTGATGTTCTGTTGTTGGAGGTAACCTGTAACGATCCTGGCCCTGTGACATCTTGCGTTGTCATCCTGGAAGATGAAACGGCGGCCATGACGTCGTGCGAACGGCACAACATGGACTGCCAAGATGTTGTCCCGGTAGTACTGGCCTGTAACACGCCCTGCAACAACATGTAAAGCCGTTCTTCCAGCAACAGTGATGCCTCCCCACACCATAACAGAACCACCCCCAAATCGATTATGTCTGATGACGTTAACGTCTTGAAAGCGCTCGTTTCGACGACGCCACACCCTCCTACGTCTGTCCAAAAAATCAACAGTGAACCTTGACTCATCTGAAAACATCACATTGCTCCAGCGTCGATTATCCCAGTGTTGACGATCCCTACACCAACGACGTCTTGCCTGAATGTGATGATCTCTCAAACAAGGGATCACGCGAGGACGTCGGGCGCGAAGGTGACTCCTATGCAGTCGATTCCGAATCGTCTGGCCACTCACTCTCACACCAGTGTCTATTTGAAGACGAGCGCTGATCTGATTTGCTGTGATGACACGATTTCTCAAGGCCAAGGTACGGATAAATCGATCCTGGGCTTGAGTTGTCGCCCTTGGTCGACCTGAGCGTGGTCTGTCCTGTACAGATTGTGTATCACGGTATCTGGACCATAGCCTGCTTATGACAGACTGCGAAACATTCATCGTCCGCGCCACAACCGCCTGTGTTGTGCCGATCTGTAGCATGCCAAGGGCACGTAACCTTTCATTTTGGGTAAGCCGACGCATATCAAAATTTGTTTTCTGGTCACTAAAACAATTAAACTGATGTTTCCACCCTGGAATTCAATGCCACAATGACTGTAACATTCAAAGTCAGAGTCGTGCAAATCTTGGGTTGGACCCCCATGATGATCCCAAGCATCACCTGCATTCCATGCGGTAGCTATTGGTGCGTTTGGGCGTCACATGTAACTGGAAATGTTTCTTCTGTTAGGTTCTATAGTGACTTTTTCGTAGTCATTTGCATATTTTAGTATTATGCCCCCAAAATCAAATATCCCCTACTTTTTTTGAATAGTATATTATGAAATGGGGTTAAACTTCCTTCTGTTCTGGTCCGACTCGGCTTATAAAGACGGGAATTTTCCCAGGACAGCGACGCTACGGCCCACGCTTTTATCGAATTCCAACTATCAAGGGATTTTTTTACGTCCACGTCAATGTGTACACGCGAACTCTGTCTTTCGCCCCATCCAGACGACTAGAAAGCTGTCCTTGTCAGACCCTCCACCCTGCAACACTGACATGGGAAAACCACGCCGGAAAATCACGTTGAACCTTTTCGGTCAACACCGACCCCCAGACTAGGGAGCCAGCTTCTTACCCACTAAACCATCGTGACTCCCAGTTCATAACTGAACATACATAATGTAAAGCAATACATTTTGTTGTCATTTTTATCCAGCTATATGCAATACATGCTAGAGACTAGACTCGAGACGACTAAAGCTTACCTGCCCTGCCCCCAAGGTCTAGACCATGAATGGTCAGCTGTGATCTGAACACACCTATCTTTGTATTTGAAATGTGGTCGTGTATTGTCGTCGCCCCCGCCCGACGCTAGAGGCTAATGTTAATATCTAATTGACTTTAAATTTATGCACAGTGTTTAAGGTCATGGATGAAGAAGCAAATTGAATTTGAACGATATACGATAATTACTGCCAGAGTTATAGCTCATCATATTTATGCACAGTGTTTAAGGTGATGGATGACGAAGCCAATTGATTTTGAAGGATTTACGATAATTACTGCCAGATTTATGGCCCACGATATTAAATGTTAGTATAGGGCATGGCCCTTATTCACGAAAACTTAAACTAAGATACAATCGAAATTTTAAGAAATACTGCAATTCGAATGGCTGACCAGTAAAATCAATTTGCATATATCCAATGAAGTTGCAGTATTTCTTAAAATTTCGGTTGTAACTTAGTTTAAGTTTTCGTGAATAAGGGCCCAGAACTCTTAATCAGAATTTAGTGTGCTTCGTTGCCTGACAATCTATTGTTAGCTGGTTCTGTTACCGCAGCATTTGTTTCAGTGACGAAAGGGATGCAGATATGTAGACTACACCCCAACATGCCCGCAAAGTTATCGTTTCCGGTAAAATTGTAGATCTGAATCAAGCGTGCCACACTCAAATCTTGACTGCGAATAACTCGATTCATAATAATTGTTCCGGGTTAAATTCGGAAAAATATACGGATTCGTTAATTCAGATTCAGTTCGGTTTTTGTCGAATCGAGAGTGACGCCAAAGTCCGGAATAAGGCTTTATTCTGAATTCAATTCAGATTCAACCCCTAGTGTGAACGCAGCTTTTGTCAATCAACCGTTCTCGATAAGCGACTTCTTCGCTGGCGTTTTTTTCTCAATCAACCGCTCCTGTTCCTACAAATTCAGCATGCAAATGGACGATGTTTTGGGGCATGGTGTAATTATAAAAAGACGGCAACTGAATGTAAAGAATGTCGGGCTCCATGTTGTAAAGAGAAATCCTCACTTAAGAGAAATTACTGTCATTGTCTTTTTTTTTCATTATTGCTGCAAGGTGTATAACATATATTTGATGTGTAAGTTGCAACCTATTCCGATCTATGATGAATTCATATTTTACAGGGAAGTGTATTGCTTCACCATGGAAATGGGCTTACGTGGAGCTCAGCATATGGTGTGATTACCCCTGATCGCAATAACGTAAGATAGTATAATGCGGTTGAATCAGACTATTAGTGACAGCCACCGAAAGAGAGAAAAAATCCCTTCAGACAAGTATTTTGCAATATTTTGTCTCAAATGTATATTTGAGATGTGTTTTGGTAGTGTTGGCTTTCTTTCCATGCACCAGAAGGTGTATAACAAAATTTCAGTTGGGTAGTAAATCAAATAGAACATGACAATCTATACATACAGAAGCTGAAAGGGTGAACTGTGTTACCTACGTTGTTGAGCATTAATGGAAATAGATGCATATGTAATCGCAATGTTTCCAAAATAATGGAAATAGATCCATATGTAATTGTAATGTTTCCAAAAAGATCAAAGGGAATTTTATCTCCTTGAGTATTAACAAGGTTATGTAATAAAAGGACTTCATCAAAATATAATCGCTTATAACATCAAAAAGATCGGATGGTAGCTTGTATATGTCGTGGAATGAATAAAAGAGGCAGGAATCATCAGATCAAAAGACGTCTTCCTTTTACCAAGCCAACCCACCTTTTCACCGCCTAATGGTCTATTAATAATTCCACCGCCTTGAAATATCACCAGAAAACGTGACTAAATTACCATGCTAAACAGATTATTCAATTTATCTTCTTACCGACCTAGTGGTAATTGTTTAAAAAGGGTATCATAATCCACTTTAGTCAAGAAGTTACTATCAGAAATCAACACTTTATTACAATTCCATAAAGATAACATGCTAACGACGCTATCCGACTTTGTTAACAAGAAATAGTGGACCTAGTTATATCAGCTTGGGTGTCATAATACTGATAATTCTTTGGGAATAGAAATGAATGTTAAATGTCTTACATTTCTGCATGGAATTGGCTAGTTAAGCCGGACAGACGCTAGGCAGTTGACTATGGGGCAATTTAAGCCCCGATAGCTGCGTTACGGTCTAGTCTTATTTCAATTTCCAACTGTCTGTGTGTCTTTAACGTAAGTACGCCAGACCTCGTTTTATCGGCTCACGCGATCGACTAGGGGCTATTTCTTGTCAGGCCACCACTGACAGACAAACCAGACTAGAGAACAGATCTGGATTAAGTCAGTGTCATGCTAATCGAGCCACCTCTCCCAGAATAAATATATTAGGCTAATTTACTGACTATAATGTCGTCAATAGCAACTAGTTTCTCCGGACTTTGTTCAACGTATAAAACATATAGCATTGAAGTTAGAAACAAAAACACGAAAATTTAATGTTTTATTTTACTCATTTAAGATGAAAATAAATTCATGTTGGCTTTGCACAGTTCATGTGGTTTTTTTAAAGAACGTGAATTTAACAAACAAACCTTGACATACTTCAAAAATAATCTAAAAATATATTAACCAGAAAAGTTCAGTTCAAAAGGGGAGAAATGTTTTAAAATGCGGCTAAAGGTCTATAACTATTATTTATTAATTTATTATTTATTTGTCTATTTATTTATATATTTTTTTGTAGATATATACGCAACCAACATCACGATTCTAGCGAATGCTCATATATATATATTTACCCATTCACCAGTTTTAAATAAAGTGGGTTGGTTGAATAAGTCGGTGAAGATTTGATTGACACATGCATGTAAATATAGACCTATTATAATTACAGATATAAACCGGTAGATCAGCTGTTTAGCTGGGTAGTCAGCTGTTAGACGAGAGAGAAGAAGCCGGTAACTAGACCTCTTCAAGGATAAAATATGATGGCAGATGACATCCAACCGCCTCTCTTCTCTGATCCACTGGCTGATCCTATAGTAAAAATTACAGATGCTGCCAAAAAGTTAAAGGTAAATAGCTTATTTTTATATGTGAAATAATTTTAAGTAAGATCTAATGCAATTTATTTTTTAAATTTAATGTATTGTGGTTTAGACCTGTATTGGTTTTTGGCAAGTGGTCCCAAGAGAAAGTTTTATCAAAACAATATTTCATAAGATAATAAGTTGTATTTTATTATTTCAATACAAAAAGGTCGAACAAATGACACCCAAGATAGTTATTATTTTGTAGCTCTCTGTGGACATTTGTAGTGTAGCCACCCTTGTCCGTCGGCGAAGGCCCCAGCATTTACTACATAAATGAAGGGTTCTTAAAATCGATATACATTACATAAAAACTAAAATCATTCAAAAGAAATATTTTGGAATCTAATGAAAGTATTATGCCAACAGTTACTCAGAGAGTGTTTCGCAGCTCTGATGCTGTCTTTCAGGGTTTAAATGTAGCGTGTAGGCTATAGGCCGAAGTTTTCCACTGTCTCGGAATTTGGATCATGTGATCCTGAATGCAATCCTTAGCCGCGGAAGTTGCTGGGCCTTTACGAAAGGAATGTTCGCTATATCGAACCTAATGAAGTACAACTTTGAAATATGTCAAAAAAGTTTCTCTAGTCAAAGGCTTCATGTCGTCCGTAACGAATTAGACTCTGCCAGGAACAATCTTTCTCCGAAGGTCAAAATAATGCAGCATTTGTGACACTGGTTTAAATTTAACATTTTCATATATAGTAATTTGGATTCTCGGAGACATAAAAGTCATAAAGGAGCTATCTCCTGCAAAAATTACATCTTGTGGGCATAAGTTTATATTATAGTCAAACTTCCATCTTGTGGTATACTCACCAAACCGTAAGAATTCAAAGGCAAGATTTAATACAGCTAATAATAATTTGTCAATATAAGGAGAAAACAACCCCTCAATAAACGCCGTTACATAGAATAAAGTAGCTCAATTGTTACTGGTAACCATTTCTCACTGACAGGGGCCCGTACACGTTTAACAGCTCTTAACATGTAAAATAGTTTTTATCCACAGTGTACTGTCCCCTTGCTTTATATAATAAAATCTTATTGCTGCCATATTTGATCTAATTGAGGTATGAGCCAGATTTAACATAGAATGAAAAAATGCAATAAACTGAACAAATATATATTCATTAAAGGGGAATTACGTAAGATTTAGATAAATAGCTGGCAATTCTCGCTATATTTCAAAAATAGATAATGCAAAATGATATTGAAGATTTCATTCAAATTACTTTATTTTGAGCGAAGTTATCAATAATTATAGAGTGCATTGATCGTAACCACCGTACTGGTTATTCGAGTCTTACCCTCACTTCTTCATTTTAAAATTAATTCATTAAATGGCCAAAATGTTCTAATCTACTTAAAATCGGAGCCATCCGATGTCATCGAGGGTTAATTGTGGTCTTGGCATGTTAATAAATGTCTAATTGGTAAATTATATAACATTCAAGGCCCAAAGAAAGACATGCGATAGGCAGATTTAGCGCTTACATAATGTAACATTAAGAGTAAAGTTATATGAAATTAAAAAAAAAAACGTTTGAAACATTTAATACCAGATTCATAAGTTTGTAACGTAGCAGGGGGTAATGCTTGTTCCAGTGACCATTGACTTCATGAGCAAAGACTGACTGACAGATGATCACGATTTGAAACGCTGCAACTGTACACGAGTTAAATCGTGATAAAGCATCGGCTAGTTCGTTTTTGTATCCAGGTACATGTTTAGCATTAAAGGAAAAATTGTAACGCATGGCACACAAAGTTAACTTTCTGACTAACTGTAATTGCAACAGTAGTTGAATTATCGCAATAAAATGTAACTTTCTTTTTATCGCATAGCCTACCCCATAATATAGCAGCAAGCAATATAGGATAGAATTCTGATTTGAACAGAATAACTTGGCAGGCTAAGTGCCACTAAACCAATGTCCTTGATAAAAGCCCTCAATGCCTTTAGTGTTCGAGGTGTCTGTGTACAACTCTAAATCAGTGGTGGGAGTGAACCACTGATCAGAAAGAAACAAAAGAACGCCCTGGACGTACAACGCGAGCAGCAATTTAAGTATGTTTTGCCTAGTAACATTAGCATCATTACAAGGATGGTCTACGGTCAGGAAGTCACAAGTTTCGCCGAGTTTTTTTATAATGTGGACGTATTATGCCGTCGCCGCTGTGTGTGTGTCTGTTGGTCGCTTACAGGGCGCAGTTCTTTATGGATTGTCTTGAAACTTTGCATACTTATACCATAAGGATGATCTGATGGTTTTTGGTGCATGCCCTACCCCCAGGGGCAGAGGAACGCCCATTTTTGTATTTGTCACCTACGCCCATTTTCTCTTTGTTTCTTATACCCTAAGCATGACCTCTATTATTTTTTGCCGCATGCCTGACCCCCCCCCCCTCCCGGGGAAGAGCCATGCCCAATTCTTGTGTCTGTGTGTCGCCTACAGGCCACAATTCTTGACAGATCCTTTTGAAACTTTGCATACCTATTTTTATACCCTAAGGATGCTTTTTTAGGTGAATGCCCGACCCCCAGAAGAGTCACACCCATTTTTTCCATCTTTGTGTGTCTGCATGTTGCCCACAGCCCACAATTCTTAATAGATCATCTTGGAACTCAATAGCCTAAGGGTCGCAACTTTTGATTTTGGTGCATGTCCCGACCGCCAGGGGCAGAGCCACGCCCATTTTTTTAGTGTTTATCGTATACAGGCCGCAATTCATCTTGGAACTCGGCATATGTATTCCTTTTAGCCTAAGGACAGCAGCTATTGATTTTGGTGCATGCCCCGACCCCAAGGGCAGAGCCACGCCCATTTTTTTGTGTTTAGCGTCAGAAGGCCACAATTCTGAATGAATTATCTTGGAACTTGGTATACTTATTCCTTATATCCTATGGACGGCAACTATTGATTTTGGTGCATGATCCGACCCGCTTGGGTGGTGCCACACTCCTTTTTGTTAATATTTTGTCTGTAATATTTCGAACATGGGGGCGTCATGAGCCGCTATATGGGAATTGCCAAACGCACCTTGTGCTGCTGGTTGCAAAGCTTGTTGTTGTACTAGAATTCTAGAGGACTGGTCATGTAGCGACTGCAAAATTTGAGTAAGATTCCGGACATCGTTCTGCATTTCTTGAAAAGCGGTGCCCTCTTTGTTATTGTTGACTGTTATAATTCCCGTTTCCGGTTGATCAACTTCCGCTTTAACATCCTCAGATTCAGAACTACTCACATTCGCTGTAGGATTCATCTAGTAAATTTTCAACAAATCCTTTCTAGGCAAGCTGTTCGACAGAATAATGCCCAAATCTTCGAGATTACGTTTCAGCACATTAGTCGTGATATTCTCCGAGATATCTGCGCTGTTCCTCCGCCGAATTATTGTGTCGGCGTAACCCAACTCCAAACCCATCTTCTACCTGTGAAAAACCCGTTGGTCCGACGGTTTGTCGAAAACGCTTCATTTTTCTTAGTGACTAAGAGATGGTACAAAAATATGTAAGAAGGTTTCTCCAACATGATTTATGAGCGTGCCATTTGATTCGCGGCATAGGAAACTGTTCAGACGCCACAATACTATACACATGCTCAACTTTCTACCATGTGCTCATGTCGGTCCACGTGATGTAAACACTATTGACATTTTGCACCTAAACATTATTATTAAAATTACATTTCATCAATATTTTGTATACGAACAAAGCTAAGACATTTTAACATGGTCGTATCTGTCTGTCTGTCCGTCCTTCGTTCATTAAAATGAAGAAAACTATCTTCTTTCGTTTTTTTTCACGGGTGATATATTACCAGCCATTTAATCTAGATTATTATTGTGCAGATTGTTATAAGTTAATATTCTATATACCAAAATACGTATACTTAAAGATACTTTCCCGCGTACAAACTGGGTGATTTGATGATATATTTGGACTAAAAACATATTCAAACTAATTAATCTATCAACATTTCGCTTTAAATCCTTCTCAAAACCTTGTATTTGCGAGGAAATACCCCTGCTATAAAATAATCTATTACAAGAAGTCATGTTTGTGTGACGTGATTTGGCTGACGCGGTACCTAGCAACGGATGCAAAGCAGGGGGAGAATTTATTGCACATACAAGATTATGTCTTTAATCGCTGTCCATTTATCATAAATATCGAAGCCTGATTAATTCTCGGATTATCCACTACCCACGTCTATGTCCGTGGTTTTTATTTCAGAAACTGTTGTACGTTTAAGCTCACCATCAAGTTTATCAACATATACGTCAAGTGGTCACTACCGCTGAGAGGTCAGACAATCTTCGCGTGCATCCTTTGACGTCACTCGAGCAGACATCCCTAATCGTCGGGTTGCCGGTTAGGGAAACCCTTACATTGTTGTCCTGCATGTGCTCCATGGGCATTTTTCAGGGAATCCAGTATTTTTCTAGTAAGATTGTGTGTTTCTACTTTCCATGTATACCAAAATTGCCAAACTTTTATTGGAAATAACCACCAGATAAATACTTTGGCGGGTAAGTATCTTTAATTGATGCAAAACAAAATGGAGAAAAAGCAATTAATTTGTCCTTTGTCAGTGTGGAAATGGGCAAATTCGTTGTGGCATTGTTGCCTCCATAAAGACTAAACAGATTTGACCACATAGTTACAAGTTCCGATGCATTGATACCACTCTATGTTCTCTTCTTGGGAGCCCCGGATGTCCGGCTGCAAGTTCGCGTAGCCTACCGTTTTCTATCCATCTTGACAACAGTTTCAATTTCTATACCTGTTAGATCGTTATAATATTAAATAAATTATCCTCAGAGACATTAAGGTACATAAATACAGAGAAGACATAAACTTGACAGTTAGTAAATATCTCAAATTAATCAATATGCAAACGGTGAAGTAATATCAGGTGTTACCCAGCTACAAAAACTGCAATGATGGTATACAGGCATACTATAGGAATTCATAAAGC